GGGTGTATATACATATACAAACACATATATTCCTTCTTAAAACTTGGAAGATTTTCCCCTGAATTTCTCTTAAGAATAAGATGAACAAAGAACAAATCTTATCTGACTGGCCAGATGATGTCATTAAAATATCTGAATTAAAAATCAGCCTGGTGAAATTAATTTGATTAAATGTACTCAGTTTACTTGTTTGTATCAACACCATATATTCATAAGGCACCTGTCCAAATACAAGTACGTGCTCCAAAGGAATAATATACATTCTTAGGAGCCATTACCAGAGAGGAAATACAAAATAAAATAGTTCACTCTATTTGTGGGGGTCAATGGGAGAGGACCAGTGAGAGGAAACTGGAGAATTCACTGACATCTGGGCTAGGTGTGCCGTTTAGGAAGTTGTCTTAGATCCTTTCCAGAACAAGGTGTATGACAGATAAATACATCCTGTCAAATGGTATCCATCCTTCACATAGATGTACATGATCCGGAAAGACCTTTTAGGAGTCAGTTGGAGAAGAGGACAGGAGAGAAACCATTCTGTTATTAATATATTGTAACATTGACATTCAGGTTCAGGGAAGCACATCTGTTTTCTTCCGGTCAATGATATTCTGGTTCCATGTGGATTTTTAACAACAGTAATTCATCCTGATCTTAGCAAACAAAAACAAAACATCTAATATCCTCAATTCCATTCTTCCGGCAAAAATAAAACACACCTAGTTTTTCATGAGCAGTCTTACTATGGATGACTGTGTTTTCTGTGGAATATTTTATAAATTGCAGTGTAAATAATGCAAATTGCTCATTTACTTCATGAAATATCACAACCAGAAAAGCAAGAACTGTGTGTTTTGAACCCATCAGTCTGTATATAGCTGGAATCCTCCCCATCACTTAGAATTTATAGTTCTACCTTCCATATGACTCTTGTATCGTGTTAAAATTCAGCACAAAGTGTAAACCTACATGCTTTGTTCACTCTTTATGTTTCCTTTTACCAGTCATTTCAAAGTGCTTTCATCTTTAATTTCCTTGAGAGAGTACATCACAAGGCAAAGGTGGTAATTACCCAGACAGACTTTAGTTGTTAAATATTATTCAACAAACCCAGTAAATGGCATCCATAATAAGGAGCAGGGAAACAGATTACAGTGTTTCATTCCTATCTGACACCACCCTCAGGAGAAGAGAGAGCACAAGGCAAACCCATAAGTATTTATATACTCCCTGATTTGTACAGAGAATGTTCACAGGAAGCAGCTAAAGATGCAGCAACTAAACCCAGCATTTAACTGAATTTCTTCGGAACCTTGCTGTTTTATGCAATTAAAAAGCGAGATGAAAAATGTATCATTACTAGTCAGTCTTGATGTTAATAGAGTTTGATTTTTAAGGTAGCTCTTCTACTACATGTGCCTCGACAATAATCTTGCAAAGAAAACCTTCCTGTAGGAACCGTGTGGCTCTGCTGGCTGATTCTGGAGGTGCAGTCACTGTTCACTGCCACAGAAGCATTTAGATTCCCTGCCGTGCTATGCCTCCCCAGCCGCTGTTTGGGATAGTGTTAGGGACAGGTGCAGATTGACAGCGCTAACCACAGGAAAGAAGGAGGGGGGCAAAAATGAGAAGGCCAGTGAGCATCTAAAACCTAACCCCCAACAGCAGGAACCTGATATTAGGACTTTTTCTGGCCTGGAACATGCACAGAAGCTGGGAGCTCATGTCCAAAGGTGGCCTTTTCTCCATTAACAGACATTAGCATATTAAAATCACACCCACAGCACTATGACAGTTTACAAATGTCATGGCAACCCCTGGAAGTTAACCTATAAGGATAAAATTGGGGAAGGCCCTTAGCTGTAAGAACTCTCCACCCTCTTCCCAGAGAAACAATAAATATTCCACCTACCATTTAGCATATCATAAAGCATAGACGTAAAAGTAGAAGTGTGGTAGGAGCCCAGCATCTTCTCCCCTCTCAGGGATGGACCCACTTCCCCTCAGGAAAGGTACTTTCACTTTCTCTTTCTATGCTGAAAAGCTTGCAATAAAAGCTGCTTGGGTGGAGGTACTAAGTGTCTGTCATCTCTCCATCCCATCGGCCCTGCTTGCAATTCTTCCAAGCAAGGAGCCAAAGGACTGGGGCAACACCCCTCAAAAAAACCAACCCTGACAATAAGGAAGAACTCAAGGAGAGGTTCTCCACTAGTTTTGAATGCTGTGGCATGGTCACAGCAGAGCACAGTCCACACATAGGACTTACTCGGATACAACCCAGTGCTGCTTCGTACTATAAAGAAAGCACAAGCCAAGACAGGCTGCCAGATGCCACAGCAGACAGAAACTTCTGCCCTAAATTCATACACCAGTAGGCTTCCCCACCTGTTACTTTATACGTTCCATTTCTGCTATCCTGCAGCTCGGCTCTTGGGCCACCTCATAAATGAAAGAAGGTTACCCTGTATCCTCCAGTCAAAGTTATTCTCTCCCTTCTCCTGTTTCAGTTACACTTGCCTGTCTACACTGGCCCATAACACTTCTGCCTGGTGTCATGTTCAGTTGTGTTTGCGTCTGCCTCTCCCACTAGTTTGTATGATCCTGAAGGGAAAGATCTATAGCACTTGTATTGTTATATCTCCTATCTTAGGTGCTCAATAATAATAACTATCACAAAATGATGTTTATTAAGCATTTCGTATATGCTGGACACGTTACAAGCATCATCTCATTTAAACTGTACACCTCTGTAGCATGATGGTAAAGATCATGGGCCTTGGAGCAAGACATCTGTGTTCAAAGCCTTGTTCCTTGTACCATTTGCCAAATGACCTTGAAACAGACTGGATTCCAACAATCATCGATTTACAGCCTCAACTCTATTCTACCTCCATAGAAAGCCCCATAGATTTGCATGAGACCCATTAGCTAAGAACCAAACTCATTATTACTCCTTATCGCTAGCATTCCTAAGGCAACCCCCATTAACTTGTGATTTAACATATTTAGGTGTTTAGACATAGAATGGATAGTGATGTGACTAAGCAGATCAATAATATTAGTATTTTACATTTTTCTAGTGTTTTGCTACCTTCTCAACTTCTTTCACACAGATCACCTCCCCTGATCTTCACACCATCCTTGAAAGATGGGCGGGACAGCTGTCTGTTTCCCCATTTTACTGATGAGCACACTGAAGTGAGAGGAACACAATGACTTGATGTTATCTCATAGCCAGACAGTGGCAGAACTACAGCTCACACTGAAGTCTTCTAAATCCGTCTAAGATTCTTGCCCCCACCTGGCTTTGTCCCTCAGCATCAGTCACGTGTGTAGACACAGACTCACCCAAAGGCATCAAGAACCAGGTGCCGCGCCAGAGCCTTCAATGGTTCAGGCCGTCTGGTAGCTATAGCAATTGTCGCTTGTGGCAAATGAGATCACCCTGCACACACTTGCTCTCAAGATTTGAGTTACAAGAGATGAGGCATTTTCCACAGAGGGCCATTAAGTTTGGAATTCCCTTCCCCTGGTCTGACACGGCCCTAGAGAATTAGTCTCCTGGGCCTTTGCAAACCACATCAAGTTGAGTTAGCTGCTCATGATTGGTGAGAAACCCTAACAGGCAGGGCAGGAGGAAAGCACCAAATTGTCTTTTAGTTGTGAGCAATTTGTAATGTTGTGATTAGGATAACTACCCAGCCATACATAGTTCTCATTCTTTAAAAATAAAATTTTAGTCAGCAGTCCGCGTGGTTTTGTTTCTGTGTTCTTACATCATGTGGCACATGATGTGATGGAGAAACCTATGGGGAAGTTTTTGTTTCTTTTGCATAAACCATTTTGCAGTAATTGATCAGCCATAGAGAAAAGATTATCTCCTGTGCACGCACGGTGAGTTGTCTGGCCACCAGAGACCAATAAGCTGTGTCCCTAGAACTATTATCACTTTGTTGAAGAAGCTGCTATGTGAACAAAAACCAGCCTTCGTTAATTTCCCTTTTCGTATTTAAAAAACCTTGTCAGTATTTTCCCTTTGGGAGTGCATAATTTGTCAACAGTGCATATTATTTTAGTTCTAAAGAGGAAAGATGTAGGGCAGTGTATCCTTATTAGTATCTCTTATTCATTGACCTTCATGCCAAATCTTAGTATGTTTCCACTCAGTAAAATTGTCTGCATTTTTTATTATAGTATACTTGGTTGTTGTTTTTTTTCCATGTCATTGAAATATAAATTTTTGTTTTGAGACTAATTTGAATTCCACCCCCCCCACACACACCATGCCTACTATTTAACTGATGGAAAGATTGAGGCCCAAGAAGTACAGTGGCCAGACTGAGCCTACATAATACCCAGCAATGGAATCGGGACATATATTCTCAGTCTAGTGCCCTTTCCATTGTGCTCTGCAGCGTGTCTGTTTTCTCTCCGCAACTGTTGTGTAAGCTTCTGGAAGCAGGGGTGATCTTTAAGTGTCCCAATTATAACCGCTCGGTAGGTGCTTATTAACTGTCAGACTTCGTTCCATTGTCACAAGAACCCTGAATGTTACACCTCCCTTTTATTATCTATTCTTTTCTGTTAAACCTCCTGGGTAGATGTAGAAAAACCTGAAGGATGGCCATGTAATATATGATAAAGAGGAATTTGATTAAGTTTGACCATGAAGTTGAAAAATGGTTTAAGGAAGAATCTGATGAACCTAATGTTATTTATTAATGGTTTAAATAGTCTCACATGTAAAGTGATTAGACTACTATTATACATTTAAAAAAAAAATTATGTATTATCTCTAGCCATGAGAAAGAAAAGGACTGTAGAGTTAGCTCATGTTCAGAGTGAAAAAGTAAACATCACAGGTTAGCCTGACCTCGGTTGTCAGTTTATTCATTGTTGGTTTTTGTGCCATGGGAAAAGCTGGTTCAGGAATTGTTTGCCCTGCTGTTAGTTTGTATGCATAGTAACATTCTAAATACTCACTATAAATTGTGTTATAGTTTGTTTCAGTGTTGGAAGGGGTGTTGTCTAAGCTGTCCAGGTATGATGAAGGCAGTTTCTTTTCATCCATCCTGTCATTCACTGTAAGTATTTGAATGAGTTCTCTCCTGCTGCCTTTTAACTGTTGTCACAGTATTTAGGTAGCCATTAAGAAAATAATTCTCATAATTATCTTTTTTTCTCTCTTAAGGTGAAAGCAGCTGCAAAATATGTTGATGTTCCAGTAAGTATTTTTTATATCTTTTTAAAAACTGTATATAATTCTTTTTTTTTAAAGAAAATAATTATAGTTCACCGTGGGTTTATTTCAAATCTTTAAACCAGTGCCATTCCCTTAGGGAGTAGTTTATTTTCCTTAAGCAAGCCCTAATTCTCATAACAAGACTTGGCAAGGTTATTTCAGTGTACTTTTATTGTTACAACTCGGAAACTCTTAAAGAGGTCACTTGATCAGGAGAACATGTCACCCGAGTAGCAGAGGGAAGTTGTAGCACTGGAGGATGGGATAGAAAATGCCCCACACTATTTATAGAAAAAATACTCACTCTCTCTTCCCTTTAAATGAAAGCCCTAACAGGTTTCTTGTAGAAGTTAAAATAACAAAAATAAACCAGTTAAATCAAAGAAATTAGCTTTCTAAATACAAAAGTATTACAAATCAATAGTCACTTATTTTAACATTTCATTTTTCACAGAAGTCTTTATAAATAATTCATAACCCGTAAATTTTTTCAAAAATTAAGTTGTCATGGGTGGAAATTTTGAAACTTACTTAACTACAATGAAAAATTTCACTCTACAAATACAACCAACAAGTTTGTGTAGCATTTTGAAGCTGATCATAATACTAAATTGGTTTTTGCTTTAAGTTCTGTTATCATGTGTATGATCAAGACGTAAGATGTTCTGTTTAATCATATATTTTGGCACATGTATCAATTTTCAAAGAATTAGGGCACAATGATAAAAACCTTAACATTTAAAACTAGATGGATATAAATCATCTCTTCATACCTGAGGAACATCACATCATGGAACACCATTATGAATGTTAGCTGTTTGAGTACTAGCAAGCTTTGTTGCATATCAGTTATAGATGGCTCTTACTTTTAGAAAGTATAACCACGTTTTGTCCCTAGCTTTATTGCTGCTATAGTTCTAAATGGACTTCCACCCATTAATCCTGGCTCTGGCTCCTCCTCAGCATGGCAGCTCTTCACATGTTTGGTGATAATTATCATGCCTCCTCTTCCCAAGGGATATGGTAGCTATTCACAGACATGGATTGTCTGAGGAACTCTTATTTTCTAGATTAAACATTGTCAATATTTTTACTAAACCCACTAATTCAATATTTATTTAACACATATTGAGTGCTAGGTCCTGGCCATACATGATGAAAATGTACATTTCTTGCCCTCAAGTGGTTCATAATCAGGATAAAGAGATAGGGCAGTAGACATATCAACATTAACAATATTGCTATAGCAATTTTACCCAGACTCTTTGTCATACCAGTCACTCTTCTTAGATGAATTCCAGCCTTCCAATGTCACTGTTAAGTCAAGGTTTCCCCCTACCACTCCTTGCCAGCAGAACATACTATACCATAGCTGTGATCTGGCCATGGCAGATTACTAAGGGATGAGTTCCTTCCTCAGGCATGGACATTCTATTATTGATGCCTGTGAATGTTAACTTTAAAAGTTACAAGATCCTAGCCAGGCATGGTGGCTCACGCCTGTAATCCTAGCACTTCGGAAGGCAGAGGCAGGGGGGATTACTTGAGGCCAGTAGTTTGAGACCATCCTAAGCAAGAGCAAGACCCCATCTCTACAAAAAAATAGAAAAATTAACCAGGTATGGTGGTGCACGCCTGTAGTCCCAGCAACTTAGGAGGTTAGGATTGCTGGGGTCGCAAATAGGAGGATCACTTGAGCCTAAGAGTTTGAGGTTGCGGTGAACTATGAATATGCCACTGCACTCTAGGTGAGGAGACAGAGTGAGACCCTGTCATGAATGAATGAATGAATGAATGAATGAATGCATGCATGCATGCATGCATGCATGCATGCTATGAGATCCTGTTGGCTGTTACTCTTTTTTTATACTCAATTCTATCAAGTATGCCTTTCTGAAGCACTGCTTGAAAGACTCATGAGAAAAAAGAACACTGCCTCACTTTTCACGAAAATTAACTCAAAGATAAGGCCTGCATGTACAATACAAAACTATAAAAATTCCGGAAGCAGCCAGGCACAGTAACTCACAGCTGTAATCCCAGCATTTTGAGAGACCATGGTGGAAGGATCACTTGAGGCCAAGAGTTCAGGACCAGCCTTAGGCAACATAGTAAGATCCCGTTTCTACAAAAAAATGTACAAAAATAAGCCTGATGTGGTGGCAGATGCCCATTGTCCCAAAATACTATAGTCCCAGCTACTAGAGGTAGGTGCCTATAGTCCTGGGACAGGAGGATTGCTTGAGCCCAGGAGTTCAAGACTCCAGTGAGCTATAATCATGCCACTGCACTTCAGCCTGGGCAACAGAGTGAGATTCTGTCTCTTGAATAATTAGTTCATTAAATTTCCAGAGAAAGTATGAGAGAAAATTATATATTGCCTTGGATTGGACAATGGGGTTTTAGATATAATACCAAAAATTAAGCTATGAAAGAAAAAATCGATAAGTTGGACTTAAAAATGATAAGTGTACTTCTCTAAACTGTTAAGAGAAAGGAAAGGCAATCCACAAATGGTGAAAAAATACTTACAAAATACATATTTGATAAGACTTATATCCAAAATGTTCAAAGAATTCTTAATAATAAGAAAACAGCCCAATTTTTAAAGTGGGCAAAACGATCTAAACAGATACTGCAACAAAGAAGACATACAGGTATCAAGTAAGCTCATGAAAAGCTCAATATCAACTGTCATAAGGGAAATGCAAATTTAAAAGATGAGATACTGCCATGCACCTATTAGAATGGCTAAAATCTAAAACAAGGACAACAGCAAAATGTTGATAAAGATAAAAGCAACAGGAACTCTCATTCATTGCTGGTAGGAACACAAAATGGTATGGCAACTTTGGAAGACTGCCAGCTTCTTAAAAAGCTAAATATAGTCTTACCATGCAACCCACCAGTGGTGGTCCTTGTTATTTATCCCACTGACTTGGAAACATGTCCATACCAAACCCGGCATGCAAATGTCATAGCAGCTTTATGCAGAATCACTAAAATGTAAGCAACCAAAAAATGTCCTTCATTAGGTGAATGGATAAACAAGCAGTGGTCCATCCATACAATGGGATGCTATTCAGCAGAAAGAAAAGAGCTCTTAGGCCACACAAAGACATGGATAAATCTTAAATGCATATTGCTAAAAGAAACCAACTTTAAAGACTATGTACTGTAGGATTCCATTTATATCACATTCTATAAAAGGCAAAACTATAAAAATCATAAACAGATTGGTGATTACCATGAGTTCAAGGTCAGGGAGGGTTGAATGGTAAAGTACAGAGGATTTTTTTGAGCAATGAAACTATTCTGCATGATACTATTAATATAGTGGTAGATATACTGTACATTTATCAAAATCAAACTTTAAAGCACAAAGAATGAGCATGAATATATGTAGTTATAAAAAAAGTCAATTAGGTTATCATGGAATCCCAGATGGAAAGGAAACTATAATTAAGTAACTCTGTTGCAAATATATGAAATAACCTCACTGAAGAGGGTGGGGGGAAAATGTGCTGCTCTAAGTAACTTTGGAAATTAGTGGAGTCTATAAGAATAAAGAAAAAAAGAACTATAAGCATTGTACTCCAGTTGATGGAGTTTTTCTCCACAGGTAATGAATTCTGAAGCCACTATACATGTATACTGGAATTGAACATTTAAATAAATGGTGATTGGTGGAAACCAAGTTTCTCACTGTTGGAGTGAGAGGTTAGAGGCCAAGGTGGGAGGATCACTTGAGGCCAGGAGTTCCAGACTAACCTGGGCAACATAGCAAGAGCCCCATCTCTACCAAAAAAAATTTTTTTAATTAGCTGGGTGTGGCAGTGTGAGCCTGTTGTCCCAGCTTCTCAGGAAGCTGAGGCAGGAAAATCACTTGAGCCCAGGATTTCAAGGTTTCAGTGAGCTATGCCACTGTTCTCCAGCCTGGGCAACAGATTGAGACCTTCTCTAAAATAAAACTAGGAAAGTCTGAAAAACTGACATCACCAGGAGAAGTCTAAGGAAACATAATTACTAAATGTATTAATAATATGATATCCTGGATGAGATCATGGAACAGAAAAGTATATGGGGCAAAAACTAAGGAAATCTGAATAAAGGGTGAACTTCAGTTAATACTGTCTTAATATATGTTCATTAATAAATATACTAACTTATGGTAATAATAGGGGAAATTGGCTGTGGAGTATATGGGAACTTTGTACTATCTGTACAGTATTTCTATAAATCTAAAATTATTCTAAAATGTTGATTAAAAAGAAAGTACACATATTTAGGACATAATAATTGCTGAATTTTAGTTGATTCTATGTGGCTATATGCCCTTGGATTAACTATATGACCTTGGGCATTACTACACTTAAATGGCCACAGTTTAGTCATCTATAAAATGAGTGAATAAGTTACTACATTAATCCTTCTGTGACATTCCTCTACTTTGTGAATTCTTGATGTCTCTCCAGTTTCATCTAAGAGACAACAGAGCCCAAAAATGTCTCCTTAAAGATGATAAGATAAAGCATGAGAAAAAATTCTGTAGAGAATGGGGGCAATAACATTGATTCTGTAAAATTAAATTATCTATGAATTGACATTCCTAATGCAGAAAAGGAAGAATTCCTATTCCTAGAATATACTCAGTTGTCAGATATTCCTTAGAAATGTAGCACACCTGAAAATGTATGAGTTAATAACAGAAAATAAATCAAGCCATTTAAATATAATGTATTAGGAACACAGTCTTATGTATCTTTGAGATACATACTTTTCATGACACTTATAAAAGGAAAATATCATGCATAAGAGAAAAAAACTTCAATATATTCCTGAACAGAAATAAATTCCAGTGTCTTATGCCTCTTGGCAAAGAAGCTGTTAAGATTCTCCTTGGTATGTTTCTGATCAAGGTGATGAGCTGTAACCTTCAGTATAGTTTGGTAAATTGCTGTTGGTTAATCGACCCTATCCTG